TGTAGGTTTTTTTTTTTTTTTTTTTTTTTTTTTTTTTTTTATATAATAGGATAGAAAGAAAGAAAAGACAAAGTAAGACTCCAAAATATAAGAAATATATACAAATAGAGCACACTTCAAAACACCCGGCCACTGTCTGTTCACCTGCAAAGAACATGACAAAACACAGCAACAAAATACATATGTATAAAGAACTTAAAATATTCATGGCTTTGCAGTAAGTTTCAATAAATATATATACCCATACCTACGCCTATATACATACATACATACATACATACACACACATGAATATACACTCACATACATATCTATATATCTACATATAAAGCCTACATAAACATCCCTGCTTCTATTTGTGTGTGGTTGTGAGCATGCATAAGTGTATAATATATATAGTTTTACAAAGTTCTGTTCAGTGGTCTATGATATATATATTTTTTTTACTAACAGTTGGTCTAATGTCAAAGATTTAAGCAAAGATGTGAAAAATGTAGAGCTCAGAATATGTATTGGGGTTAATTAATAGTCTACTATCATACACATTTTTAGTTCATTATCTGTAAGTTGACAGAATTATAGCCATCTCTGTGTTTTCTAAGATCAGTTGGCTGTGGTGGAAACCTTAAACTGGGTTGGCTTCAAATGTTAATCAGTTGTAGAGGTCGATTCAGTGGTTATTTTTGGAAAATTTCATTAAAATATGGTCAGTGGCTCAGGAGATATTTTGCTAACAGAACTGACTCCAGGTGGTTTATGGTAAACATTTAACAGAGATCTTGTGCATTCTGTGGACTCACAATGTGTGTGCTTGGGTTCAGTCCTGCTAAGACATCAAATTTTAGATCGATGTTTGAGAATATATATATATATATTTTTTTTTTGTGTGTGTTTTTAAAGTCTGTGGAGGCCATTTTTTAAACGGATCAACTCCAAAAGTTAAACCAGTTGTGGATGTGCATCCAAAAATTACCTTTTGAAAGGTTCATTTAATATTGTTCTGTGCGTTATGAGATATTTTGGTTACAGACATGCACGCGCACACAGATAGGCAAAAACATTACACTCTGGGTGACACAAATCTAAAAGACTGTTTGGAAAAACAACAGAAAACTGTTTTTGATGAGACAAAATCACAAGTAAAGGAGGGTTGGTGCCATTTGAATGAGTTTCAGCGCCTGGATGAGCTGATTGACTGTTTGTCAGAGAAATGTTGTGGTCGGTAACTTGACCAGAGGGTTGGGCATCATGGCAGAAACACGTCATTATCCCTGATGATGGAAGGAGGATCCAGCAGCCTCCCTCTCTGGCAGCTGCAGCCTCTGATGAGAGTGAATCCCAACTCAAGCAACAGGAGATCTGGTAAACTTTCTCTTTCCTGTCTGTGCGATTACTTTAATATGATGCTTCATCTTCTTTATGCAGCATGTCTTTTGAAGAATTGTATTTGATAGGTTTATGATTTCAGTTAAAATAGCTTTAAAAAAATCTTTCATATATGATACAAAATGGAAATTTGTGTGGTTTTCAATTTTAAAACTCTCAAAGTTTTATATTTAGTCTCTATTTACGGTATTTAGTGTGTGTGTGTGTGTGTGTGTGTGCTCGCGCGCGCATTTGTAAAGAGAGATAGAGATAGAGAGCTTCGTATTAAATTTAAAATCGGGAGTATTATAGTTGCAGATTTTGATTGAACAATGTGAAAAATTGTCATCCATCACAAAAATAGATGTAATTTCTACATAGTTTTAAAGACTCTTTGTTTTTCTGTAAATTAAAAAACAACAACATTTCATAGCATTTTAGCTTTTATTAACTTGACTTACAGGATCAGGTTTAGTCAAAATCATGCACTAACTGCAAAATTACTTTTTTTCTCTACTATTTTCAAATTTCAAATAGTACAGCCTTGAGGGCTTTATCTCACTTGTTTTGTATTGGATGTTGGAGCTGGACCTTACATATTCCTCTTTGCTTTTAATTCTCCTGCAGTTTTCAGTTGTGACAAAAGTAGAAAAAAAAAATGTCACAGTTGTATTACAAGAAAGCTGACAGCTCCTCGTACAGAGACCGCATCGCCCTGCGGATTGTGCGCGCAGAAGCTGAGCTCTCTCCCATGGAGAAAGCATACCTGGGGGCCGTTGACAATGGGGACTACGCAAGTGTAAAGCAAGCCCTGGAGGAGTCTGAAATCTACTTCAGAATTAATATCAACTGCATTGATCCACTTGGACGCACAGCCCTCCTTATTGCCATTGAAAACGAGAACTTGGAGATCATAGAGCTTCTGCTGAGCTACAACATCCATGTGGGTGATGCCCTCCTGCACGCCATTCGTAAAGAAGTGGTGGGGGCCGTGGAGCTGCTGCTCAACCACAAGAGACCAAGGGGGGAAAAACAGGTATCACAAGAGAAGCATTAGCAGCGGTTAACTGATATGTTTGATTCTTTCAGTAATTCTCATTATGTTTTAACTCCCAAATATATGGATATTTTTAGTCATGTGAATCTGGATAATCAGACTGGAATCCACCCCCTTGCTTGAAATCCATCTTTTCACAATTCATAAATAAAGAAATATGCAAAACATGTGAAAACAACAAGAAAAAGAACTCAAAGAACTGCTTTTTAAAGAGTAGATCTTTAATTTGGGGATCACACAAGTACTCACATTTCATTCCATTTATTGTTTATCTGAGTACCGTACAATGTAACATTAAATCATTTGCACATTCCTAGGTAGAACATTAGCAATATAAGGATAAAATATATTTATAATACAGATCAAAAAGAACAATATATTACACTTTTTAAGACAATGTATACAAATAAAATAGAAACAAATCACAGTAGCAATGTAAAGTGGGAGGTAGTCATGACTATAAAACTGGTTCAGGAATTGCTTCAGTTTTAATCTAAAATTATGACAATCAGAAATCAATTCAGGAAATTCTTAATTATATAGAAAAAGCTATTCACCTCAAAGAAGTTTTTTGAAATTACACTTTATATGTTCCCACGAGTTACTGTGTTTGTGGACCTGAGAAGAACCAGAAAGCGATGAAGCACCTGAGGCGTCAGTCCATTTGAGTTTATTACATTTAAAAAGTTCATCATATTAAATTTCTTAAGCAGATGCTCCTCAAGAAATGTTTTATAGGTTTGACCATGTAGGGTCCAGTGAAAATCCTGGGGTGGTACAACAAAAGCCAAAGCCTTGAAATAATTTAAGACATTAGATCATGCTGTTGTTATAAAACAGCAAATTGGAAAGCTTTGGCAATTTGAGTTAAATAATTGCCAAATTGATATCACTCAGCTTCTTATTTTACAGGTAATTTTATTGATTATGTGATGTGCAGACCATAACAGATTACATTTAGAGTTTCACAACAGCCCGGTTTTAATGTGGTGTTTATCTTTACATACACATGTAATGCCATGAATTGTCCTTACATTACGATTTTTGTTATTTTCCCTAAAAACATCAAATATACATCTTTAATTTGAAGGGGTGCATTGAACAAAACATTTAACTGAAGCAAACTTTCTCAAGATTAAAGATACTACTTCTAATAATTTTTTAACACATTTTTAGTGAAGTTTGTCCTTCTAAATATATATATAAAACGCATTAAAACCCCTGAGCCCACATCATAATGTTGAGGCCATTGGATTTAGAACAGTTGTCCTTATTCAGAGGGACTCGATTTTAGGTTTGATTTTTAATTTTAAATTAATTATATATTTATGTTTATAACTCATAATTGCTCATAATCAATGGTGGTTTTTATGTTTATAAGGTTCTACTAATCCTAAATAGCTATAGAGAAAATTTTAAATGCACAGCAAGAACAAGCCTGTGACTTAACAGGATAAAACTGTCTGGCCGAAGGGGGACAGTGGGGGGCCATCAATCTTTTAGGGGTGGCCATTTTTTTCCTCAAAGCAGCTTGGCCTTTTTATAAATGACTTTGCATGTTTTGTGAGAAGAAAAAAGAAATGGGGGGAGAACATTGGTGTTTTCACCAAGGGAGATATTCTGAGACCAGCTGAACCGCAAGCCCATTAGTTGCGTAATTCTCTGAGTCAGAAAACATTAAACTATACCTCAATCAGATGGTTACTTCCTGTCAGGGGTTTCAAAACAACATCCGTCTGTAAACCATTCAGTGAAGTGTCCTGTAAATGGCTTTATCTCATGTCTACTCATTAATGCTTTCCCCCCTTCATGACAAGGTGCCCCCGATTCTACTGGACAGACAGTTTTCAGACTTCACCCCAGATATCACTCCAATCATCCTGGCAGCTCACACAAACAACTACGAAATAATCAAACTGCTCCTGCAGCGAGGTGTTTCCATACCTCAGCCGCACGCTGTGCGGTGCAACTGTGTGGAGTGCATGTTCAGTCCAGACGTGGACAGCCTGCGTCTCTCCCGCTCGCGGCTCAACATCTACAAGGCCCTCGCCAGCCCGTCTCTCATTGCCCTCTCCAGTGAAGATCCATTCCTCACAGCTTTTAAACTCAGCTGGGAGCTGAAGGAGCTCAGCTCACTGGAGAATGAGTTTAAGTCTGAATATGAGGAGCTATCTCAAACGTGTAAGCAGTTTGCCAAGGACCTGTTGGACCAGACTCGAAGCTCTAGAGAGCTGCAAATAATCCTCAACTACCGCGATGACATCGACCCTCTGCTGGATGAAAACATCAATGATCTGGCCCGGCTGAAGCTGGCTATCAAATATTGCCAGAAAGAGGTAGGATTTTTTTTTTATTTTAACTGCTGTGGCCTCAAAGTCTAGAACTATTGTTCTACTGTGGAGATGTTTAAGCAATACTGCAACAGGATTTGTTGTATAGTACAGTGGCAAACATTACAAATTGAGAAAGAACAGGATTTCCAATTTAACAAGTACAAAATTTGTGTCATGTAAGATTTGATCATTGCAGGCTGAAGGATATGAAAAGTGCCAAGATGAGCAGTAAAAGGCCAGAGTTGGGTGGAGACACCCTTTGGGAATCTAGAGCAACATGTAATTGCCAGTCTGGCTCTTAGAAATGCATTACAGTAGACCTCTTAGGCAATCCCATGATGATTAGATAATTGGGTATAATGATGGAAGATGCATCAGCCATTTCCTTGAAATACAAACTCGTGACATTTTAATTAGGGTGGAACCTATTACAATCTTTAAAATCTGCTTCAATATATGCATTCATAGATTTGTTTCTGCCACTTGTTTTCAAATAAAGCAATTATTTTAAATTTAAAAGAGAGGCGTTTGAAAAGGGTCTGTGAGAAAAAGACGTGTGACAGGAATATAAAAGGGAGAGATACACGTTGCAAAATGTTTTTGCTAGCTGTCTCACTGATTTTCAAGCCTTTTTAAATGTTTAAAGAGAACAGACTGGAGGAAAAAATTCACAGTTGCTACAAATGAAAAGGTCATATAAACCATGCAGTATCAGTTCACATCTTTAACTTAAACAAATCTGATTATAGTTAAAAATAAAATGGAACAATATACACCGAACAAAAATATAAACAAAATACTTTTGTTTTTGCTCCCATTTTTCATGAGCTGAATTCAAAGATTTAAAAAAATTTCTATACACATTAGGCCTTTTTCTCTCAAATATTGTTCACAAATTTGTGTAAATCTGTTGGTGAGTATAGTACTTCTCCTTTGCCTCGATAATCCATCCACCTCACATGTGTGGCATATTAAGATGCTGGTTAGACAGCATGATTATTGCACAGATGTGCCTTAAGCTGACCACAATAAAATGCCAGTAAAATGTGCTGTTTTATCAGACACCACAGCCACAGATGTTGTAAGTTTTGAGGGGGTGTGCAATTGGCATACTGACTGCAAGAATGTCCATGTTCAGAGAATTTGCCAGTACATCCAACTGGCCTCACAACAGCCCATGGATAACCACACCAGCACCTGTGTTCATTGTCCATAACATATGCCTGCCCATACCATAACCTAACCATCACCATGGGCCACTTGATTCACAACGTTGACATCAAACCGGAATTGATGTGAATAGAACACCTCTCCAACATGCAATGCGTCATCAAACGTGAGCATTTGTCCACTCAAGTCGGTTAAGACAATGAACAGCAGTCAGGTGGAGACCCCGATGAGGTCAACGAGCATCCTTCACTGAAATGGTTCTGACAGTTTGTGCAGAAATTCTTTAGTTATGCAAGTCGATTGTTGCAACAGCTGTCTGGTTGGCTGGTCTCAGACAATGTTTGAGGTGAAGATGCTGGATGTGGAGCTCCTGGGCTGGTGTGGTTACACGTGGCCTGCAGTTGTGAGGCCGGTTAGATGTAGTGCCAAATTCTCTGAAACACCTTTAGAGACGGCTTGGAGGTGTTCTCTTCATGGATAAATCCCAGTTTTCACTGTACTGGGCAGATGGCAGACTGTGTATATGGCGTTGTGTGGGTGAACGGTTTGCTGATGTCATTATTGTTAATGGAGTGTCCCGTGGTGGTAGTGGGGTTAGGGTATGGCAGTCAAATGTTATGGTTAGTGAGTACAGGCTGGTGTGGTTACAGGTGTTCTGTGGTTGTGAGGCTAGTTTCATGTACTATCTCAGATTCTTTGAATATGGAAAGTCCTGCAGTCAGCATGCCCATTGCACGCTCCCAAAACTTATGACATATGTGCCATTGTGCTGTGTGATAAAACTGCACATTTTAGAGTGGCCTTGTGGTCAGCCTAAGGCACATCTGTGCAACAATCATGCTGTCTAATCAGCATCTTGATATGCCACACCCGTGAGGTGGATGGGTTATCTCGGCAAAGATTAAGTTCTCACTAACAGATTTACACTAATGTGTGAACAACATTTGAGAGAAAAGGGCCTATTGTGTAGATCAAGTCTTAGATCTTTGAGTTCAGCTCATGAAAAATGGGAGCAAAAACAAAAGTGTTAATATTTTTGTATTTTTGTTCAGTAATTGGAAAACATGTTTGGCTCTAGCATGATGTATGATATTTCAGTGACAAATGCCAGACAGTTTTTGATATTGAAAGGAATTGTCAAAATTTTGCAAAACCAATGATTTTTAAATGTTATTAGCAACTAAAACCTGCAACTAATATGCAGTTTATTTATTTTTAGACAAACTTCAGACCAAAAACATTAGTGGAGTTTGATGTGATGATTTGATTAAGTTATTTTCATGTAATAAAAATAAACTTCTTCCTGGTTATTATTATTATTTTTAGCTCATCAACATTTCACAAGAACATTTATAAAATCTCTCCCATTTCAGACTTCATACCCCAAAATTTTAATTCCATATAACCCACAACCATTACAGGGGTCCATTTGGCTATAATTATGTTAAAGTGAAATTAACATCCATCACCATCTGCAAGTGTCCGTCAGATGTTTGTATCAAATCTCAGTGGGCAGGAGAAATGGTTGTGTGGTTATTGGAATCAGATGCAGTAGACAGTAGTTGAATGTTTTTCTTTGTAAAATCATTGTGCTTCAGCATGGGTCTCAGGTTTTTGATCTAATTTCTTTGTTTCTGTGTTCTTGTTAGTATTTTTGTACTTATATCCAGCAAGATTTACAAAATCTAGTATTTTTTTCCCCACTTTGAAATTGTTTCATTGGTGTGGGAATATAACAATATACTGGGACTGTTTGCAGGATATGCACGAGTAAAGTTCAAGATAATTACATTTATTTTAATATGCTGTTTTCTAAATTTTGAAGATAAACTACAGAAAGGAAAGTTTAAATTTGCCTTGCATCTTTCATCCTCCTTTCTTCCTCCTCTCTTCGTTACAGTTTGTTGCTCAGCCCAACTGCCAGCAGCTTCTGGCGTCTCGGTGGTATGATGAATTCCCAAGTTGGAGGAGGCGTCACTGGGCAGTGAAGTTTATAACCAGCATCTGTATTGGCATCCTCTTTCCATTGTTATCCATCTTCTACTTGATATGTCCAAAAAGTCGCTATGGCCTGTCCATCCGTAAGCCTTTCATCAAGTTCATCTGTCACACTGCTTCCTATCTGACCTTCCTCTTCATGCTCTTCTTGGCCTCTCAGCATATTAACACTCAAGACCCAGATAATCCCGCTGCAAACTTCCAGGGCCCGGCACCCACTACTGTGGAATGGATTATCCTGCCTTGGGTTATTGGTAATAATGCACACGTTGTTAGTATGCATTGCGGTATATACTGTAGGCTGTAGTCACACATAAAAACAAAATATTTGGTGCTTATTGTAAATGCATAATAATTAATGTACTATGCATGTGCTGCACATGTGTTGTTAATTACAAAATGCATTATTTTCTGCAGTCACACTTGATGACTGTGATGATGGTGATGTTGCAACAACACTTTACCTCTTGTTTTTATCTCTTTGAGGTTTTATTTGGACTGAGATCAAACAAATGTGGGATAGTGGTTTTAAGGACTACATAGACGATTGGTGGAACATAATGGACTTCGTAATGAACTCACTGTACATCGCAACCATTTCACTCAAGATTGTTGCATACATCAAGGTAATGTATATTAGGGTGTTATAGAAGACATTTTACTCTGTCAGTTTAATATATTTTAGAATTAATGCATTGATAATACAACAGTATAACATCAGCCAAAGAATTCCTGAAAATTTTAAAGTTTTGTAGGAGCTGTGGTTATTGGTGTCATTATTCTTCGTTTAAACAGTTCAGAGGGTGCAAACCCAGAGAAGAGTGGGAAACATGGCACCCAACCTTGATGGCAGAAGCCTTGTTTTCCATCGCAAACATCTTCAGCTCCTTACGCCTCATCAGTCTTTTCACTGCCAACTCCCACCTGGGCCCTTTACAGATTTCATTGGGCCGTATGCTTTTGGATATCCTCAAGTTCCTCTTCATCTACTGTCTAGTCCTTCTGGCTTTTGCTAACGGCATCAATCAGCTCTACTTTTATTATGCCACAGATGGTGTGAACAATTGCACGGGCATTCGCTGTCTCACACAGAACAATGCCTTTTCAACGTAAGTAAAATTTTGTATATATTGTTTGCCCTTGATGTATTTCAAATGTTAAAATATTGAGTACAAATCTTTTTACCACATATTTATTCATCTGATCTTTGGGCATGTGCTTTTCAGGTTGTTTGAAACACTGCAGTCATTATTCTGGTCTGTGTTTGGACTGATCAGCCTGTATGTGACCAATGTAAAGCCAGACCATGAATTCACAGAGTTTGTGGGCACCACTATGTTTGGCACCTACAATATCATCTCCTTGGTGGTACTTCTGAACATGCTTATCGCAATGATGAACAACTCCTACCAGCACATTGCTGTGAGTCCCATAGATAATCATTGTGTGACTGCTAATTCAGCATTTCTTTAACAACTCTCCAGTGTTGTAAACTCAGTGATTTTGTTACTGTATTTAGCAACAATTTAGACCCATCTTTTTACTAAAAGTGACTAAAGACAAATCACCAACTTTTTTGGTGGTATTGGTGTCTTTTGAAAACCCGTACGTGAAAGCAGTTAGCTCTAAAAATATTTAGGGTGTTTTTTACTCACTTTATATCTCTTCCATGGTGTTTAAAGCCAATTTTATAAATTAAATGATGTCCTATAGCAACTTCTTGCAGCTTTTAGGACAGCCGATAGCTATTTTCTTTACCAAGGAGTTGGCAACACTGCAGTTATTCAGCACTCAGCATTCAAGTTATATTTATGTATTTCTTATTATAGTTTTACAACATTATTATGTCTAGTGTTTCGTTACACAAAGTTGTGACAAACTGTTTTTCTTTTCAGGATCATGCAGACATAGAATGGAAATTTGCAAGAACAAAACTTTGGATGAGTTATTTTGAAGAAGGGGGAACCCTATCATCTCCATTCAACATAATTCCCAGTCCAAAGTCAATTTATTATCTGTTTAGATGGATAAAAAGATTTGTGTTTAGGAGACCAGGCAAACAAAGACTCGACTCATTTGAGACTTTGGGGGTAAGAAGTCACCAGAGATTTTGTCTGATTTGTCTTGTTGCAACAACACTTCATGGGTTTTGCCTGCCTCGAACCACTTTGCTCCAAAATTATAAAAAATAAATTCTACCCTGAAATTGATTAGATTATGTTAATGAGCATCATAAAACCTTTTAGAAATAGACAAGTCAAATTAAAACAGAACTTACATGTTGCTTTATTTTTCTCTTGTTTACAGTTTCGTGCAGCAGAAAATGTCCGCTTAAAACACGAGTATCAGGTTTGATATCCATAAAGTGCAACAGTCTCTTGATGCTTTTTTACTTAGATATGCATCTATGTGAACATTTTATAATATGCATTATTTTAGGAGGTTTTAAAGAACATTGTGAAGCGGTATGTGGCTGCAAAGATCAGAGATGCCAAAACCGAAGAAGGATTGACTGAAGAAAACTTCAAGGTAAATACATGAGAAGTAAACACAAACAATCCTTATTTAAACCTCTTTAATTGTGTGAATTTTTTTCAGCTAACTTCAATTGTTTTTTCAGCTGTTTTGTGCTCCTTTCAGATCCTTTCTGCCAACTAAAACATTTTTGTGCTTTGAACTTCTTTCTGCTAATTTCAGCCTTTTTTATGTGCTAATTTCAGCTTGTTATGCTCTTTTCAGCTTATTTCTGCATTTCAGCTTTTTCTGTTATTTCAGCTACTGTTTAGCTGTTTTATGCAAATTTCAACATTTTTCAGCCTAATTCAGCTAAAAATATGCTCTCTCTGCTCCCTTCTGGTAATTTAAACTTCCTTCTGCTGTTTTAGCTACTTTTCAGCTGTTTTTTGTTGTTGCTAGTTTTGGCTATGTTCAGATATTTTCCTCTTTTTGTGCTCATTTTTGCTTCTTTCAGCATAATTGGGCACAATTGTGCTCTCTCCACTTACTTCTGCTAATTTGAGTTGTTTTACATTTTGAGCTAACTTTTTAGCATTTATTAGCTAATTTCAGCTATTTTCAGATAAATTCAATTTTTTTGTGTTAATGTCTGCTACTTTCAGCCTAAATAACTTCGTTCTTCTAATTTCAGTTTGTTATGGTCTTTTCAGCTTTTTCTGCTTATTCAGCTACCATTTAGCTCCTTTGATGCTAATTTTAGCTTTTGCAGCTAATTCCACATTTTTTAACTCATTCAGCTTTTTCCACTTCTTTTTGGTTGTTTAAGCTTCTTTTTGCCTTTTCAGCTTCTTTTCAACATTTTTTGTTGTTGCTAATTTCAACTTTTTTTTAGCTAATTTTCCAGTTTTTGTGCTAATTTTTTGCTTATTCAAACCTAATTCAGCAAATATGTGTTGTTTCTGCTTTCTTATGCTAATTAAAGTTTGTTCTTCCATACCGACTACATTTCAGCATGTTTTTATCTAATTTCTACTGTTTTTCAGCAAGTTCTTCAGCAATGGGCATTCACACTGCATTTTTACAGGAAATGCAGTTTATGTAGTTATTTCTGCTCTTGACTCTCTGATCTTATCCCAATAAACAGGAGCTCAAACAAGATATTTCCAGCTTCCGCTATGAAGTTCTGGGAATGATGAAGGGCAATCCTCACTCTGCTGCCAAAAGTCGAGTTTCAAGTTTCACGTTTGCGTACCCTGGAAACTCCTTCAAATATTGTCCCAAACTTTCAACAGATGAGTCTCAACAAGAGCCAAACCTGCTCAGTGTGGCTGCCACCACCCTGCAAAGTGAAGCTACCAACGCCACCAGCTCTGAGAGCTCAGATAAGCCAACCAATGGTTCACTTGTTTTGTGTGTCACAGAAAAGACACAGAACGAAATATCTGAAGATGTATCAAGCGCGGGATGCTCCCAGAGACGGAGGAAACACTCTTCTCAGAAGTTTGATGAAATATGCTCCTTGTTAAAGGAGGATATTTTAAAATCTGGAAGCCAAAACCAAGATCAGCTTCTGGGTGAAAACGTGGATGTAGAAGTTTCACAGAAAGTGAATGCAGGCGTTCAGGAAATGTGGCGTTCCTATACCGTCTCTTATAAGGAAGCAAAAAATGGGCCAAAGAAAAGTAAAAGTAAATCAGCGAGTGAGTAAAATGCTGACGTGATTTTAAATCAAAATGTTGGCTCGATTTTTCTAAACATGCATAAAATCATTTAAAGTTCTAAAATATTTATAAGGTAAATCCAGCTATGATAAATCAAAAAGATGCATAATTTGTTTTTATAATTTTGCGTTTGATCAGTTATGGCACAGTCATATTTTATATCAGACTGACGTTAAGATTCGTGCTCATTTTAAGCTCAGGGAATTATAAACAAGTCATTTATTCATGTTTTATTTTGAGAAAATTATTCCAAAGATATCCAACACCTGGCTGCCTTTCTCATACTTCTCCACAGTGACCTGTCCTTTTACTGTGGCATATACAATACTGTATCTCAAGTCTTTGAATATAAAATTACTGTTATTAATTCTGACATGCTACATTTTTAAATTAAAATAATCACATGATAAAAAAATGTACAATCTATGCACTGAGAATAAAAATGCCAATTTGTAATCCCTGCTGGAGTTGATTTAATATTTAATTTAGATTTTTTTTTTTGAATGCGCAATGCAGAGCTTTGGACATTTCTCTTCAAGTACTTTTCCAAATATAATCTTTCAAATTATTGATTTTAAAGAGAAGTGAAGAGACTTGGAATCCTATGAGGATTTGTGTAAAGATTTACTTTTAAATCATTTGTAATGTTAAGCTTTAATAATTTGGAAGTTAATGTACTTTTTGGAACATTTTATGTTACACTACTACTTTTACTTTTTGAGACGTGCACAAATTTCTTAAAAACAACAACAAAAAAAATAAAAATAAACAGTTTACAGTTCAGGTCAAGCTTCAAGCATGGGCAGCATGATGGCTTAGTGGTTAGCACTGTTACCTTACAGCCAAAAGACCATGGGTTCAATCCCTGGGTACAGAGTTTTCATGTGATTTCCTCCCACGATCCAAAGTGAGCATGTTAGGCTGCCTTCAGACTCGAGCCTTTGTTGCAGATGAGATCTGAGATCTTAATGGGATTTGTAATAAAGGTCAATAATAATAAAAAACTTCCAAGTTTGAGCATTCATGACATGTGTTAATAAAATGTGCTGTTTTTTCTTAACGTTTGTGGAAAGTGTTTTTGCTCCTTTTTTATCCCCAAAGCTTGTGATTTGTTTTTTGTTTTTGTTTCGTGGCATTCAGAGATTGTGCACCTTTCTGTAAACATTTATGGGTGAGATACATAAAGTTATGTCAACAATGAAATCCCTGATTAATGATCACATGTCTGAGTTCGAATGTCTCAACAAGGAAAGAAAGCCTGGTGAAGGTTTTCTGCAGGTGCAATTACTTTTGGCTGCTTTAGACTATGATAAAAAATTAACAATATATTACTAAAGATTCCAAACGTGGGGAGTGTTAGATTAGAGGTTAGAGAAGGTGAGCCTGTGATCATGTGGTTGCTGGTTCAAATCCGCACACCATGGCATACAACTTGGGTATGACAGGTGAATATGGCTGATTGACTAAGTAGGTAATCATGAGCATTAAGACACTGACATTTAGTCATGTTGTGTTTACACAAATATACAACTTCACTCCCTTAGAGCTGGACACTCAAATATTTTGGGTGCTTAACGAACTGAAATGAGTTCCTGTCACCATAGCAACCACACTTTGTTAAGAGCCAGTAAAGAGAAGTTTTGATCTTCGCACCACATCTAAAAGTCTTACTGTTTAACAACGTGTGCATGAAAGTGCTTTCTCAGAGTGTTCCAATAAAAGCAAACACAATGCGGCCTTTAATTGCCACTGTAGGAATTGTACAAGTACCATTATGTCCACATGCAAATTAGTGTTCAGTCCATCTTTAGGCTGGATAATGAGTGTGCAAAGTTAACATATTTTAGTTCAAGTTTTGTTTTTGTCAGGCCTTAAATAAAGGTCATATAATGTGTTCTGCATTTTAAGCTTCAAAAGTTCCATAAACTGCTTTCCTTGCAACTTGAGGCAGATTTAGCCACAAAATTTAACAAAATACATCAAGCTGTATGTAAATAACACTGTGACGCTTAAAGTACCTTATAGCTACTCTACAAAAGAGTTACACTGCTAATAAATATAATATTTAAATAAGTAAATGAATAATAATTATAATAATAAGGTGGCAAGGTGGCACAGTTGGTAGAGCTGTTGCCTCTTAGTGAGAAGGTCGCCGGTTCAAATCCCAGCCCGGGACCTTTCTGGGTGGCGTTTGCATGTTCTCTCTGTGCATGTGCGGGTTTTCTCCGGGTACTCTGGTTTCCTCCCACAGACCAAAAACATGCATGTTAGACTGATTGGTAACTCTAAATGGTCCCTAGGTGAGTGAGAGAGTGAATGGTTGTTTGTCTCATTTGTCTTTATGTATCCCTGTGATGGACTGGAGACCTGTCCAGGGTGTCCCCGCCTCTCGCACAGTGATGGCTGGATATGGGCACCAATGACCCAAAAAGGAAGAAGCAGGTAAAGATAATGGATGGATGGATGGATAATAATAATAATAATAATAATAATAATAATAATGCAGTAAGAGTAAATTGCCACTTCAACAAAATTTCTAGAAGCTCACATAAACACCCTTTCAAGGCACTTTAAGGACACAATTATACAAGATATGTTTTAATTAGTCCAATTTAACCCAATTTTATCTAATTCAATACAATTTGTTTGACTTCTTCCCCAAAACATCCATCCATCCATTATCTTTACCCGTTTATTCCATTTTGGGTCACGGGGGTCACTGGTGCCCATGTCCAGCAATCACTGTGCGAGGGGCGGGGTACACACTGGACGGGTCGCAAGTCCATCGCAGGGCCACATAGAGACAAACGAGACAAACAACCATTCACTCTCTCACTCACACCTAGGGACAATTTAGAGTTACCAATCAGCCTAACATGCATGTTTTTGGACTGTGGGAGGAAACCGGAGCACCCGGAGAAAACCCACGCATGCACGGAGAGAACATGCAAACTCCACCCAGAAAGGCCCCTGGACCGGGGTTTGAACCAAGGACCTGCTCGCTGAGAGGCAGCAGCTCTACCAGTTGTGCCACTGTGCTGCTCTTCCCCAAAACAGTCCAATTATTCTTTAATTCCTATCAATTTGGAACGTTAAAGAGCAAAAATGACTGTAAAGGACCTTTTTTTTTATTCATGTGTTGTCCTTTTTTTTTGTCAGTCCATTGGGATAGTTGATTATGTAATAAAATTAGGAAACATTTATTTTAGATGTTTTTGTTGGTTTAAGTTCATCATATTTTAGTTTATATTGAGCTTCAAAATGTAAAACTTGAATTTTAGTATCGTATAGGTTGCTTTGTTCTGGGTTTCATATTTAGAAAAATTATTAAATTTAGCGTTATACATTCTAATATTATGCTAAAAGTTTTTTTTTTTTGCCAAAAACTACTGTATAAAAGCATTCATGAACAAATGGATTGTGATAAACTGTTAGACTTCTTATTTGCCACTAGGGGGTGCAGACTGACCCAGAAAAACATTAATTACAGTAGTTGTCTTTGTAGTTATGAATGCTTTTTAAAAATGTATTCTTTCTTTCTTGATGTTTTTTTTGTTTACAGTTTTATATACAAAGACGCTTCATTGAACAAATACAACGCACGTCTTCATTCTATCTCATTTGTTCCAAATTGACATCCATTTATTTATTTATTTATTTATTTTTCTGGAAGGTGCAGAAGTGATCATAATATTATTTGTTTGTTTGGAACAATGTACAAATGTTTTAATTCATAATGAAACAATAAATTGTCCCATTTCATTTTTTTCCCAAAAAAATATTTAATGCAGAAAAGGAAGTAATAATCACAGATATAGTTCTAAATTCATCAAACATAAGTGCAAAGAAAGCACAATGAACTAAAGAAGAAATGTGGCATTTTGGAGTAGGTGGGTGGTCCAAGCATCTGAGAAACTTTGCCAGTTCCACAGAGTGGAGGGTGAGACTCATGCTATATAAACTCCAGCTGTGAGTGTGTTCCCACTTCTCTGGGTTTGGAAGGACTTCCAGGACTCAAGAATGAAGCTCCTTTTTGTGGCTGCCTTTGCACTTCTTGTGCTCTCTGCATTTGATTCTGCTGACTCCTCAGCTTATGATAAAATACTTAGCCACAGTCGCATTCGCGCAAAAAAGGAAGGGTAAGCCAAACGATATCAAATATTGTTATAGCATGTTGGTTTTGCTTGTTATTGAGTTCTACATCTTATTTCATAATGTCTGCATGAAATATCAGTTTGTAAGAGCTGTCCTTATGTCTTGTGTCTTGTGTGTTGTATCTAAAAAAAAATCATTTGTACTGCTGTGCAATTTGAGTAGTTTTAAACAAATGAAATATCATTAAAAAAAATTCACTGACCTTGAAAAAATAAAACCAAAGAAGCAACCCTATTTCAAAATGAACACATTTGATGCACAGCAGGCATATACATACAT